GTGTGTGTGTGTGTGTGTGTGTGTGTGTGTGTGTGTGTGTGTGTGTGGGCTATTGACCTCATGATGGAGCTGCTTAAATGAAATATTGATAGTGCTTGCTTGGTTAGAGAGTGTGTGTGCGTGTGCAGATGTGGAGTTGTATGTGTATATGCAGAACCTCACCCAGTGATTGATTGTGTATTTTGCTGCAGCTGATTGGCTATCGAGTGTCCATTTCTTTTTTGCACACACAGTCTCATAGAGCACACCACTTGAAGTGGCCCAGCAGTGTTACAGCCGGATTAATGAGGACAGAGTGTGCCAACAGACAGGTAGGTTACACGATGCTGCTGAGTGCCAATGATGGGCAGCACTGTTTGAACAGTGAGATGAAAAATGTAATTGTTTCCTGTGAAAGAACAACAGATTTCCTTTTTGTTTCAGGCGGATGCTATAGATATTATCCACTTACTCGGCACACTCAATTTGCCAGGTCTATTATATGGTGTCTCCATATGTCTGCTACAGCTCTATCATGTTATCTTAACTGATCCTGAAGCTGTGTTTTATTAAAAGCTTTTTGTTCAGTTCCCCATGGAAAGAGCAGTCTGCAGTGTATGCAGCTAAAATACCAGCTTCTGTTGTACAGGAAATGTGTTTATCCCACAATTTGCCACTACAGGCAGAGGAGGAGGAGATTGCATGCTGGGAAGTCTCTCCTGGGTTGGGAATATTGCCGGGAGCGTTTGATCACGCAGCTGGGGGCATGCACGCTCTTAAGTTAGCGCGCCTTTAGTGTCTGTACTGTGAGTGTTTCTTTAGTGAAACAGAATATGCGAGTGCTGCGCAGTTAAGAGAAGGATTTAAATCAAATCTTTCGCATTTGATTGAACCGCTAAAAAGTGGAAGGGCTTAGAATGTAGCGTGATGTGGAGCTACAGAGGACTGTGGCTCCACACACGCCTCCCTAGTCTCTAAAAGTTGCAGATTGATGGACGGATGGATGTCGTTATATCATTGGGTGGTACTTGCTTACCTACGAATATGTCTTATTCTGTTTTACAGGAAGAAAATATGATTGGATTTTGATGTAAAAATACAAATAAATCAATTTTGTTTGTCATATATTTGTCAATAGGTGCAGAATATGACCGGAGATAAGATCTAAAAGGGTTAAAGGGCATATTTAATTTAATCTCAATAGCCATGTTAACATGGCTGCTGGAGGGACACCAGGGAGAGATGGAGCCAAGAACAAATCGCAAGCCTTGAGATGGTACCAAGACACACAGCGATAGATGGGAAAGTTTTGGGCTAAATCTGTTCTGTTTATCACTCGGGACACAGTGAAGGGAAGGTAGTGCGTGCGTGTGTGTGTGTGTTTTTTGTGGTGTGTGTGTGTGGTGTGTGCCACCACCTGCTGCTCTGTTTCTTGCGCTCTCTACAGTTCTCTCCGTAAACAGGAAGCTGATGTCTCTGTGAGACTCCTCTCGGCCGTTCTTTTCTGTCTCTCAGTCTCTCTTTCTTCCTGTACCGACCCAGCCTCCCTCTGTGAGTGCATACAGTATATCTAGAAAGTGACGGGCACCCCAGTTCCCACAGCACGTCTTTATTATGGAAAGCATAACAGGCTGTGTTGTGAGACGTTTCTTCCATGATAAGTGTGACATAATGGCGTGACCTGCAGAGTTGAGCCAGTTGCTTCTTACCTATTTTCCTCCTTGCTCTATTCCTGGCATTCCTGTTTTTGCTCCTTGGGCTTCCCCTGGAAAGCTGTCAGAAATGGTGAGCTACAGCAACAGTTCCCTGTGAAACTGTTGTTGTCATCTTTTGTTGCCTTTCCTCTTGTCCCTATTTAGCATGGATTTTGTGTTTTTGTGCGTGCATGAGGCGCTGCAGGCCCCTCGGGTTCTTCCTTTCCCACACCGCTGTAGACATGAGGTGTTTGACAGTGCAGGACGTCGAAGGGAGGACTGGAAGGAGGCGCAGTTGGCACAGGATTAGCACGGCACTGTTTGTTGTTGCTAAGACCAAAGATGTCATCTTTGGACTCCCTCTGTTACAACATACGCTACAAACAGAGTCACGTAACACATGTAAAAACCCTGGCTGGGAGCCAAACACACACACATGCGCGCTTCGTGCTTCATCTTTAAGAAACCTTTCTTTCTGTAGAGAGCGCTGAGTTTAATGCTGGCTGGTTGGTGAGTTCCCGCTGAGCTCTGGGGAATTGTGAATGACTGATTTGACTGTCACTTAGTTTTAGCTCTCAGCCCACACTACCGTCTAAATTGTCCAGAACAAAGGTTGTTTCAGAGCTCCTGAACCTTGCTTGGCTCCAGTCCCGCTTTGAAGCCTCGGGGGGCCTCAAGCTTTAGCATGCCAACTTTAGTTTGCAGGCTGTTACGTGGGTGCAGACGTGCATTCACCGCATGATGTGTGCGATGTGTTAAGTGATCTCTGCTCGCTGAAAGTGAAACTTGTGCTTGCTCGCAAAAGATTGCATCATTACTCCACCCATGAGCTCCTCCTCACCTCCGAATTTCGTGGTCTGCCTCAGCCGCCAGTCTTTTGGATTTACAGCAGGAACTACGTCGAGGCGGACTGGATGGAAAGAAGCCTGCGTGGGAGAAAAGACGGGCTTTGTGGATTAATACCTGGGAGTGGAGGACAGAGATAGAGGCAAGACAAAGGGGGGGTGACGACGACGACCGAGCTATTCGGCTGCCTTTTGCATGCTCTGGGTTCTCAGCTGGTTACTGCTGGACCACATTAATTAATGCGATGCACAAAAAAGAGGGATGGTGAATGGAAGAAGCAGAGAATTTGGCCTGCACTGATCCAACCAATGCTGATCGTTAGACCTGAACAGAGGGTATCGGCCAAATGATCCAGGACACAGTCCCAGTGATCTCTTTTCCAAATGTAAAATACAAAGCTCTTCAAGGGTCTTTACTGTAGGTGGAGACATTCATACACTGTGATTCTTTCTTTTCTTTTTTTTGTGCATTTTGTATGATATACTTCTGGACAGTTGATGAGATTGTGTAACCATAATGTACCAACATTTCACCGTATCCGGACTTGAGGGCTTAACGCATTAAAAGCACGTTGACTGCAGCAGATGAATGTGGATTGCTCACATCTGGTCGATACTTGAGCCGCTTAATAAGGTCAGCATTGGCACTTGGTCTGACAGATTGAATCGGCGTATTCCGACAGAGAATGGGTGTTTTGAGACTGAAGAGACGACTCTTATAGTAAAACTGGTGATCATGCCATACAGTGTCGGACTGATGTTTTTATAATAAAAGCTTGAAAGGTACTGCGACGCGCGGTTCGTTTCCTCCTCTGCTCCCTGGATGCTCGTGTTAGTGCAGTGCTGGCTTGAATATTGTCGTGTTCCACGGGCACAGCTCACTGTTTCGACAGGTCCATCTCTGCTCACTTGCTCTGCATAACACATCTGACTAAGTGTCCATCTGGTCGCCTAACCACCGAGGCATCACTAGGTGTGTGTGCGACTTTGTGTTGTAAGCCAGCACATTTGTCTGTGTGTGTGTGGAATCAGCACTGTCTTACAGCAGCAGTATATTACAACTACTTTTTTTGTGTGAGGTCAGGGTTTACATTTAATAAGGGAACAGTTAATACCCAGGGGGAGGAAAAGCTGAGGCAGCTGCATATGTTGGAAGACCTCCCAACGCTGCTGCACTGCTGGAGAACAGCCCACTACATCACGCAAACATCTCTCTCATTCAAATTTTAGTCTATCGGCATGCTTGTAATCAAGTACAGTATTGTGTCTCATCATCTGTCTCTCTCTTGCTTTTTGTGGTTGCTCTCTTTGTCGATTCCTCCTCAACATGTAGCACTCACGCAGTGACTACAGCGTGAGATGGGGAGGAGAGGAAGAGGTTTGCTCTGCAGACAGCGACAGACATGAGTGGCTTTTTGTGCTGCAGTGGTGTGTGTGTGTGTGTGTGTGTGTGGGTGTGGTTCTGTAGGTTTATTTTGTGATTGTCAGGGGAATCTGATGAGTATTTATAGAGGCGCTCGCTTGTCCTGCTTCCAATTTGCAGATGGATTACATTCCACTCTCACTTTGTGGAGGTGTGTATAAGAGAGAGAGAGAGAGAGAGAGAGAGAGAGAGAGAGAGAGAGAGAGAAAGAGAAAGAGAAAGAGAAAGAGAAAAGAGGGATGGTGGCGGCTTACCCCGGAGGAGACGGACACCTTTGGTGGCCGGGAGCCTTCACACACTGAAGCATACCTGCACTGCAGCACAGCCTCCTCACTCACTAACACAGGAGTGTGTGGGCTGGCAGGAAGAGATTTATGGTTTGGTTCTTCTTGTAATACAAACTTTTAATACACACACATACACTGGCTTGCAATATGAAGTCCCAGTGGACCAGAATGATGACTTGGCTTTAAAGTAGGCCAAGGACCAAATTGAAGGACACACACATACGCCCACACTAAGTCATATTCACTCTCATCTTCATTCTCTGCGGATTTTTTTTAAAATAGCAGATTAATCCAGAGAGATGAGCAGTTCTGAGTATCCGTCAGCTGTCCGTCCTTATATCCCTCTACCCCCTTCATCCCTCTGTCTTCTCTCTTCCTCTCTTGTTTTATCCTGCTCCAAAGCTGGCAGACAGTCTTTGCTTGCGTTTGACCTTTGAGTGGGTGTGAGAGGAGGATGGATTTATAACACAATACAGAGAGATACAGAGCCAAGCTGTACAATCTGTAAATGATTGACACCTTTCCGGAGTCCCGCATTCAGACCAGACTCTGGAAAGTTTCTTGCCTCAAAAATAGATGAGACATTTCCACTAATTCCAGGAAGTGTTGGTGTGACTGGAAACATGCCTGGTGACAGCGTGACTCTGACTGCGTGGTTGCGTGAGAGATAGACGAGTGTGTTGTGCGTTCACAAACAGGAAGTATATGTTTCACGGGTCTTCCTGTGGTTGCTTTGTGGTTCTGTTGCCTCGAGGTGTGATAGGAACACACTCCCTCTCTTTTCACCACAGTCGCCGATCAATGTGCTATACGTGGAATCTTAAAGAGATAAATGAAAAGGAAGACAAACGGTTCTTTAGATTGTTTCCTGACTTAGATTCTTGGTTTCAAGATCATAGAAGATGTTGCATGCATATACTGCTCTTTCACATAGCGAAACAATGTTTTTATTCCGTGTCTGCTTCTCTCTTGTTCAAGGAGCATGTTTGAGTGACGGGCGAAGGAGGAAGTGGGATCTCTCACGCTCCGCCCCCTCCCCCCCCCCCCCCCCCGTGCTGGTGGAGCAACCTGCACATCTGACCAGAGACTCCTTCAGTCACTTGGACAGGTATGAGTTTATGAATATTGGCTTCAGCCAAACTTCACAATGCCTAAATAAATACATACAGAGCAGGCGATAAACTCAAAATACACTTAATATTAAACAGCAGAAATGTCATTCAAGAGTCAAATATAAAGTGACCTGCTGCTCCAGCTCCCTCCTCCGTCTCAACCTTCTTTTTGAGTTGAAGCTTTTCATGTTGTTGATTTTTCTAAAGTCAATTGTTTATGCGTTATTAATATCTGAATCCTGTATGCTATGGTTATTGTGTTATTATGCTGGGCATTACTTCTTTAAGCAGAATCTTCAAATTATTTAACAGCTCACTTTAAAACTGTCAAAACTAAATGGTCAGTGGCGACATGAGTGCTTTTATTAGGATGTAGATATTCGTTGATTCCCAAAGGTTCATTGCATGGGCGATATACTTGGTATAGCTGCTGTTAATACTAAGATGTGATATACAAACCAAATCCATAGTGGTGATCAACTGTCAGTCGTGGCTGCTGGACTGTGCTAATCAGGCATGTTCTTTTAGCTTCCCTTACTTCTTCCAGTCGGTAATGTTTTGGGAGTGGATGCATAGGTTTGAATGAACAACAAATACTGTGGTATTGTCTTTGTAGAGGAGGCGACACGTTCAAGAGAAAGAAAGGTTTTGTGTTGTACATTGGGTCAAAGTAGATCACATAAAAGTACAACGGTAAGGGGTCAATTCAAAACATGTCTACGGATTCCTTGTTGTTCAGGCCCGTCGCAATTATTACATAATCACCTGACTGCGACTATTATGCATTATTGTTGGAGTCCACATCAAGTGAATTTAAAGCCAATGTGGCAACAAATGGAAATTGAATTTGGGGCATTTCCATCAATCTTTCTTCCTGAGCATGAGATCATATTTGTTACTTTCCACAGCAAGATGTTGACGGCTCTCTTGATTCAGCCTTTAGCGGAGAGTCTCCCCTACGGTGCAGTCTGGGGAAAGTTATGCTGGAGTTGTTGCTTCAATCAAGTTTCTTCTATTAGATAATTCACCTTCAAATGTTTGGATGGAAGCATGGTGTTGTTAGAGTAGCGTAGGTCATTTAAGAAATAGCTTTTCAAAATAAAACTATGTGCTGCCGAGCGAGAGGTGAAACATTGTGTCAGCAAACTATGCAAAGTTTTTAACACAACAGCACTGCTGCGCAGCATGAAATTAATATAAAAAGACAATTTACTCGTCAACTCAAATTTCATAATTGCGACAGCCCTAGTATTGTTCACATTTGCATGCTTGTATTCCGACTGATTTGTATACACTCCAATATTGCACATAAACACATTTTTGCATTATGATATATTGTATTTTGATGAGGCAAATTAACAACAGAATAACAAAACTGGGCTGCTGAAGAAAACTATTTATAATGCACGAAGCGGTCCAAACCACATACGTTTATATCTGGTTATTAAATGTTTCTATTAAATAACATTGTTTGTGAGATACTAGAATGGGATTTAGGGACATTGCTCTTATTTGCTCATGTAGCTGTTGCATTGGAACAAATTCCTGTTTAGAAAGTAAAAACAAAATATCTTTTACATTTCTATGTTTAGAAACTCTACGTAGACTGTTGAAGTGGTTGGTAGTCAGAGAAACCCTGCTGTGATGCCAGAGCGGTAGTAGTAGCAGCACTGAGAGTGTGTGTGTGTGTGTGTGTGTGTGTGTGTGTGTGTGTGTGTGTGTG